CGCTTATAGAGCGTTCAAGGCTAGTTTTCACTAGCGTATAAGCATAAGGCGACATGCGAAAGCGTTATAAGATGCTGATATAACCAGCCTTTATAGAGTTATTCGCAGTTGCTTTTCATTGCGACGCTTTGTGATTTGTTTAAAAATCTCGCACACTTTCTCATCCAATCAGACGTAAAACGAAAATCAATATTCCGACTCACATATACTCTTTTTCCCACCCTTTTTGCCGGCTACATGTATTTATGTATTTGTTTCGAGTTTTGATTGGTTCATTACATTGTATAGTGTCGTTGCGTCATTTGCCGAAAGCGGTAATAATTTTGATTTTGTTTTTTTTTTTTTTATTTCGACACTCAATTGAAAACTGGTCTACTTAGTTTAGTTATTACATTGTTTCAAATTTATTTTGCTATATTCATTGATATGCTGCCTTTAGACATTGAACCGGTTTCGAGACATTGCGAAAATCTTAAGAAAACTGCCGTTGGCCTATTTTTTGGCGGTTTGTTCTTCTGTTGAGATAATTTACATTTACAATGTAGGAGTTGTAAATTTTACTATGCAGGAAAAAAATAAGACCCACTAGAGGCCCCTTTCTGGAACGTCCTGGTAGTTACGCGTACCTGTCCCGAAAAGCTGTCTTTTGTTTTCTGTGGCAAGATCGAGATCTTAATTGTTTTGAAATACAAACAATAAAAATATCAAGGAACGAACTCGAAAGGACCGGTTTTTGAGCAAAAATCAGCACTAACACTTCTTGAGATTTGAATCTGAAAATATGGCTTCGGGTCCGTAAAGTTATTGAGACTATCGAGAAAGGCAGCCCAGGCCCCTAGTCCATATATTGGTAATATTGTAATTTTTTAAATATTGTAATTGGTAGATTTTCATACCATCCAATGTAGCTTCCAATGGAACATGTCAAGATTGTTTGACAGTTCTCTCAAAGAAGGGAGACCGTTAATTGTTTGAGGTTTATTTTACTAACCTTACCGGATAGTAATTTCTCTAGCTTTACTCATCTTAAACCTGCGCTTAGCATTTTTTTGTATCAGAAAGTGGTGAATAGCTTACTACACTTTTAATACACTACACTACACTACACTTTTGGTGTCAGTTATAAGTAAAGTGTTTTTCGAGAGGTACATCTGATGCAAAATTCCTTTTAATGTTTCAAAATGAAAGAGTTGACTAGCTTATTCCAAAAAAACTTAGAAATAATAGAACCATGGACTAAATTTAGTAAGTAAGCAAGTAAAACTTTATTGTCACATGACTTGCCCAGTCATCTCAGAAGCTGGTATCCAGCTGGGAATATAATAAAGTGTTTTTCCTTAGGCGTTTGTTAAGTTACAGAGAGCTTAATGCATATTTTACGACAGGAGAATTGAAAATAAACGTGTTTTTCCCTCTGATTTTCTGTCAGTTGCAACCTGTAACAGTTTGCCCATTTGGTATGAGCACAGTATCGAGTTATGACGCTGCTGATTGATTTCTTTTCACTCTTGCAGGTCATTTCCTCGTGGAAATAAGACAAATAATCTCAAAAGACATAAAGTAAACTAAATGGAATGGAAATAGAACTTAAAATAAAATAGAATAAAAGCATTGGAAACGGCAGACTTGCGACCTTCATGTGATAAAACAAATAATCTTTAAAGACATAAAGTAAACTAAGTGGAATGGAAATATAACTTTAAATGAAATAGAATAAAAGCATTGAAAACGATAAATTTGCGTTCTTCATGTAATTTTGAGGTTTTAAACATTGCTAATTTTTCAGGGAAGTACCTCAGCTCACTCCGAATGGAGTGATAATTTGTGTCGAGATTATCAGCAACAGTGTTTATAGCCTTGTTTGGGGGAGGTAACAAAGAAGTATAGCGGAACGAAAAATGCGACGGTCAGTTTCGGAATAAATAGCAATAAAACAAAATGTTCTTTTCTACTCTGAATGACGTCATGCGATATTTTTTATATTCGTCTCCCAAAATTATCGCATAAACGTTTGCGCTGATACTCACGGCACAGGCCAAAGGGGGCTATAAAATACAATATTACCACGACAGACTTTAGGGAGCTTAGGCAAAACACGACGACGACGGCAACGAGAAGGTCACCAAACAGGGTCAGTATACAGTATACGGGTCAGTATACAGTGCACAGAATTCATGTTATTCAAGTCGCGCAACCTGTAACAATTCATTTTTTGGCAAAATAAAAGCAATCGTTTCCAAACTTATTCGTTCGTTGACATCAAAGATAAAATAGAAGTATTTAGTTTTTCTCTCCTGCATCCGCTGCAGAATAAAATTAGATTATAGCGTCCTCTAATAATTTTACTGAATATTTTTTTTTCGCCGCTGAGAAGGAAGAAAATTTCGCTAAATTTAATATTACGAAACAATGGCTGTGCATTGGAAACATTTGCGGTTAGATAAATTTCAAATCGAATGTTTTAACACTGGGTTATAAGCAATGCCACCTTGATTTTTCATTGAAGACACATTTTGTAAGAATATTTGGTCACTTTTACTCTTTCACTGCTTATAAAAGGCCTACATGAAAAAAACGTGTGGATAAAAACTAAATGCAATGAAAGTAAAACAAGGCTGTTTAAATGCATATTTTTTTCTGGTTCAATAGATTCATTTTTCCTGAGAATCATGGGAAACGCCACAAGGCAATTTTAAAAATTATTATAATTATTTTCCTTGCCGTAAAATAAACCGAATAAAATCCAAAAGAAATAACGGAAAACCTAAAGTTAGCAATTCGATTTTTGTATAGCGAAAATTTAAAAGAAAATAACAAGACTCTTTAAGCTCTGTTGGCCAAGTTGAATGGTACCAAAGATATTCCGTTGTGAACTTTAGTCCCGCTTTGGAATTAGTTTAAAATTAGTCGTTATTTTAAATTATCACTTTTTTATCACGAGAATGTGTGTAGTGTTCTTACGTAACAACGCTATTCACACCGACTCCTCGCAGGCTTACACTGTGAACCTTATTCGCGTAGAATGCTATATAGATAACGTTTCCTA